GCGGGCGCGCAGCGTCGAGACCTTGATGAGGTACAACAGCGTGACGGTCGACGAGGCGACGACTGCACGCCAGGTTCTGGTTACTCGACCGGTGACGAACGGCGTTCGCCAGGAACCGGTCAACGACCACATCATTCTCGTCGATCGCACATCCGTGAAGATCGAGAGCCGCCTGTGTGAGCTTGATCGACCTAAACCAATCAACAAGCCCAAGAGGATCAAACCGGTACTGGCGGAAACGGAACGTCCGCCACCGGATCTAGTCAAGACCACGATGAGGATCTTTGAGAGCTCCGCGAGGAAGCTGAAGCCCAAGGGCGAGGTCGCCGCGAAAGTCGCTACCTTCAAGACCATCAACGACACGTTCAAGGCACAAACGCAGACGCAGAAGAAACTGGCACAGAAACCACCGTTGCAGCCGAAACCCTTCATCAACGGTGGCGCTCGTTCCATCGGTTCCCCGAAAAAAATCGTGCTACCGCACAAGCCGACCGCCGAACTGATCGAGACGCAGGACCGCAAGGAGGAGTACCACCATATAGACGGCGTCATCACGGAACCAATCGCGCAATCGGTATCCTCGGTAGTGAGCAAGTTTCAGCAGATCGAAAAGTCACACTCGCCCTCTCCGTCGCCGGAACCCTCGAGCTACAAGCTGAAATTCTCTCCAGCGAACAGCCCGGAACCGCCACAGACGTCCAAACCGAAGTCCGCTACTCTGGAAATCACCATCAAGTCACCGCCAGTCACGCCAGTGCTCTCGCCGAGAATCTTGTCGCCCAGACTTCCAAGCTCGCCCTCACCAGTCAAGGATATCAGACCGGGCGCGCAGAGTCCCTCCTCTCCTATCAAGGACCTGATTCGCATTCAGATTCCAAGTCCATTTCACAAACCGCCGCTACCACCGAGCCCCGTCAAAGGAGAACCCTCGAAGACGGAGGCGGAATCCAAAGTTGTTCGTTCGCAGATCGAGAAGGAGATTCCTAGAACGAATGTCGAAAGTCCCAAGCAGACACGCCTCCCAGAATCATCCATCAATGTGGAATGGAAAGAAGACGCGAAATCGAGCCGCGTTGCGTTCAACGATGGCGAGAAGAACGTCGACGAGGAGATTGTTGATGGTCCGAGAACCATCTCCAAGATTGCCTTGGACAACATCGGCAAGGCAGGAACGATAATGCAATTCAATTTCGGCGACAAGCCCACGAGCGACAAGAATTATTTACCGGGTACGAAGCAGAATGGTCAAAAATCGACGGACGAACCGATGCCAGAGGAAGATGATTGCGTAAAGACGGAGTGTAAGAGCAAGGTAGGTGCACCTTCCAACGTCGTGACCTCCAAAGTATCGTCGAGATTGCAAGAAAGGCTCGAGCCCGAGGAGGAGAGCGACGACAAGAACATCGAGGAGAAGCTGATTGTCCCGGAGAATAAACCCATCGGCGCCATTTGTAGCTTGGGCTTAATCAAAACCGCGACGACAACGATGACATCACCGTCGGCGACGTATTCGCAGAGCAATAACGAGGCGAAGACGATACGATGCCAGCAGAAAAGCGAGTTCTCGCCGCCACAGAAGCAGATCGGCATCATACGGCCGCTTGTTTCTACGAAGGCACAGCATCCGCAGCAGAATCTGAGCAATCGTGAGCTCGAGAAGAACCTGATCAATCGAGTCAAGAGCATCGAACAGCCCACCAAAGTGGTGGTGAGTCTGAAGAGCGCCGACGAGATACAACCCGCGAAGAAGACGAGTGCTGGAGGTGGCGGCGGCGGCGAATTTAACTTCAGTAATCGAAAGGATGTGCCGGATTACATAGAGAATGACGGCCTCATCATTAGGAGAAAGCGGGATAAGCCGAAGGTGAGTCTTCAATGCACTCTTTTTAGCAATGCAAAAAGTACCAGGAACTCATTCAAATTATGATGTCGCAATTATGACAGTAATTGACACCATATTTTTTACTAAAAGACTTTGTTTCTTTGCAGTAAAATTGCAATATTATAATTTGTTGAAATCGTATAAATTAGAGAAGTGTTTCAAATATAAATGTTTATAAAGCTATCTTTTTATTTAAAATATAATGTAGCATGGTAACTTATTTAATTTTTTTTTGTTTGATAAGTGAATAAATTTTGAATTGATATTTGTGAAAATGTCTGTAAATGCAAATATCTCATTAAGCAAAAGATTATTGTGAATGAATAACAACTACAATATTTATAAATAATATTCATCTATAGATATTTATTTTTTTAAATCTAAAAATTATATACTACAGGACATAATGCCATATTTTTTTATATTATGTTATATTTACTAATCAATTTAATAATTTAGTAATAAAATCAGCCTCAATAATACAATATTGAAACATAAAGCTGATATTAAAATCGTGTTTTATCTTTTTGTTATTTTAAACAACTTAACTTTGTGAGAAAAACATGTGTCAAATGAAACAAATGTTCCGTGAATCAAATTAGTATAAGCTAACAAAACACGATAGCGTAATTTACCGTAAAGAGATACTTACAGATTTTTTGTTCTCATTTAACTTCTTGCCTCTCTAGGTGAGAGTAGGCATTCGTTAAACCAAATTTTCATTAAATATCACGTTGCACCACGAGGAAAGATGCAACGATCGATATAGTTCAATGGTATCCTGGTACCGGCAACTTTCTTTTCGCGTGCGTAAAATAGTTTGATTATTTTACTTTTTCTTTAATACACTGCGCCCCAAATAGATGTTCGACAGAGACGACGTTTGCATCTATAAAACATTTATCTGTGGAATTTTAATTAACTCTAAATATATCAAACACGTTTCACTTGGTGTATACTGGGTGTCTTGTACTTTTATCAATCATTGATTTTATGATTCTGAATTCTGGAATTCTATTTTTCTTTAATATGATTGTCTCAAATCCAATATAATTTTTAATTATCAATATAAATTTTTAATTTATAGATATATGATAAAACCAGAGGCTTTTCATGAATTAAAAAATTTTAAAAATGCGAACAGTTCACGATACTGCACACTATTCGTCAGTTTTCGAATAAATTGATGGAAAATTTTAATAACTTGCAGTCACGAAGATGTTCATGATTGAGTGTTAGTTGTGAAATAATCGTCTTGAAATTAATCAAGAAACGTGACTGAAAGGAAACGCGGGAAAATTGCGTGACATCCTGTATACTCCGTGACTTATTTGTCCCCGATTTTACGTCTCGCTTCCACTCACTCCATCACGTATATCGCTGATGAACTACGAGAATCCTCGTTAAACCGTTGTACAACATGTGTAACGGTTGTCGCGTGTCCTAAACCGAACATTGGCCGCACTCAGACGAGTATACTGATTTAATTGTTGCCGTTGCGGGCACCTCGAAACACTTGTCAATCAAGTCAAGACTCTAGCGGACGATATTGGATCTGTCACGATAGTTGTGACAAACAATCTTCTTATTTTATGCTGCTTACTCGTAAGTCGATGGAAACACGAGCAACAGTTTACGAAACGGAATCTGTTTATTTACATTTCACTCTATCACCCGGCATTGCTCTTGGGAAAGCAACACCATTACACGCAGATTACAATAAACAAAATTTAATATTTATTCATGTCACATGAAAATTGTCTATATTAAATTTATTATTCATACAATTATAACAAATATTTTTTTAATTTGAATTAGATTAAAAGATAAAATTTTAGAAATATAACATTTTTCATATTCTGATTTTTTACATAATAATTATATTATGAATCGTATTTTTATAAGACGACGCGAAGAGATAAATAAAAAAGTTTGAATTTATATAGAATTATTACGAAATTAATTTTGATCTTGACTACGTGGCGACAATCAACTTTTACGTCATTCGCAATAAGAAATATTGTTTAATAGGCACAAACTCGAGTGCTATTGTGTAAGATCAGATGATTTGCTCAGATATAAATGAACACTGTATTCGCCTTCAATAACCGCAGTACTAACTGCGAAATTAGGAGGTGTATTATTGTGCAGGCTGCGCAAAGTAAAACGTTCCGAAACCGCGCGGCGCTTTCTAAAGCGTTCGACAGAGTAGAGTCTGTCTCGCTCGAACGCCATATACTCATTTCCAGACTTCTCGTAAAACGCATCATCGCGTCCTCGCGGTGAAGCGAAGTGAAACCGAAGACGTCCGATATTCAGCAGAAAATGGGAGAAATTAGGCACACGATTCGCGCGATTTGTTCGAGGGACGATAGTTACTTTCTCATATTAGATAATCCGGAAGTGGGAATCAGCGTCGAGCAGAATGGTGATTATTCCTGACGATAATCATGGATCTCAATGCTTAATTTGCCATTCTTAATACATATCTAGAACGAGATTGTTACGTGCTCAATGGTAGTGTCTCACGCAAACCTAATACATCACGATATATACCGTTTAATAGCGATTAATTCAGCATGTGTTCTGTTTTTCGCCGCTCCGGAAAGTTTACATTGAAAGAAATATTTTGGTACGTGTAACTTTATTTTGTTGATATGTCCAGAGTTGCCATAGATCTAGAAAACCGGGAAAAGTCAGGGAAATTGAAATTGATCATGGAAGCCGGGAAAAGTCAGGAAAAAATTTTAAAAAGTCTGGAATTTCAAAATTTGCTCACAATTTCCTTAAACTGCTCCTATTCCAAATAATTGTTATAATTTTTTAAATATTATATCTGATGTTTATAGTTCAAAACTTGCGCACTTTAAAGCCGGTATAAAGTTGGCACCCCATTTTGAAAAAATCGATATTTTATACACAGTTCCGTTTGCACCCACAATAGTTCTACAGTTCCTGCTAAGTTTTAACAATAGTTCCGCTGATTTAGCTAAAAAAAAATTTTTTTATAAATGGGGTGCCAATTTCGCGTGGCACCCCAAGTATCGCAAAAATTAATTTTTATCACGAAATTCTAAAGTTCTCGAAGAGTTCTACAGTTCCTGCTAAGTTTTAACAATAATTCCGCTAATTTAGCTAAAAAAAAAAAATTTTATAAATGGAGTGCCAACTTCGCACCGGCCACTTTAAACGATTTTAACAAAATAATTTAAATTTATATTTTATTCAGTATTTTTATTTGATCCCCCTTTTTCGTCGTAACTACATTCTTTTTTTCAAAACTAATTTTTTTTTTTGCTAGCTTGAATTTGCACCCAAAATTTTACTATGCTACTAAGCTTTTTGATCAGAATAACCAAATTTTGATTAGAAAATACAATTTTTTAATGAAAAAGTAAAAAAAGTTTTTGTTAGAGTTACACATCAACAAAATAAATGGTTACACGTGCTTCCCAGTATATGAATTGTCACGTTCAGTAATAGTATAACACACGAGTTCAATCTTTTTTTTTTTTTTACAGACAAACACATTGTCGAACACATTTGCATTGCAAAACATTGCACGTTGCACGTCTATTCCGGATAAACCTTTGTTGTCGGCGAAGTGAGTTTCGCAGAATAATGACGAAAGTAATTTCGTCAATAATTTTTTCGATGAAGCTGTGGTATCGCTTGCCACTTGTTGATTCTTCGTTTTGTTGTTAATCATAAATACATCTTTTTATTGACATTTTGCACATTAGAATTTTAAATATCGCTTGAATTATGTGTAGCAAAACTAGGTCTAATTTTTAAAATATTATTTGTGTTTTATTCTTTTCAATGAACTAGAAGGTAACTTTTTAAAATTTAAATTTATTCCGTTTATCTATAATGAAATAAATACAATATTGTTTATTTGCGTTTTAATAATATATTTAGTAAAATATTATAGATAATTTGTTTAATTAAATATAGATTGCAAGGTGTGCATGATTTAGTTATATAGAAAATCTGACGGTACTTTCTCCTAATTATGATTCTACGTGGAAGAAACGAATTTTCTAAAGTATCTAAAAATTTAGCTAGATACAGATCTAAAAATAATTTTATTGGACCATTAAAATAATTATATAGGAAACTCCCACCGGGACACTCAAACATGATGATTAATGTTGCAAAAAGTTTTGATTTTCTAACAACCAGTTTAACAAAACTATTTTCAGATCTGTATCTAGTCTTAGATACTTCAGCAAAACAGTTCTTTCCGTGTAGAGATTAAATTAAAAATTATGTATTTTTAAAATAAATTATTATGTGACTATTGAAGAGTTTTAACCAATTTAAGAGAATTTTCAGAGTGGGCCGAAATATGTGGTACAATAAAGATGGAGGTAATTTTATCTTTTAAAATAAATCGAAATAATAAATTTTCTTTAAAATAAATTGTTTTTCTACGAGTCTTTATTTTTAAAAACAACTGAAAATCAATCGAATACGCATGTGTTATATTTGATCGAAATTGTATCTTGTTGATAAAAATTTACGATTAACATCAATAAGTACGCATACGATAATAGACATCATCTAATAGTAAACAAATCGGGCCTCGCGTGTAAAAGAAAACACAGTACAATCTGTAGCTTAGAATAAATTTGTTTATTTCAAAACATTAGACTCTGCTATTTTTCAGCTTATAATAAATACATAAATAAATATTGAGTAATAGGGTTGCAATGAAAATATAGTTATAGTAGAAGCAGTCTTTATTATTTTAACAATGCGTGATTGTGACAAGTTAGAACCATGGCCAAATCTCCCGGATATGATTCGCGTTATTTAGTATTCATTTATGAAATGATATCTCTGCCTTATCTAATAGGCGCGCAATGATATCCTTGTGAACAATATTGCGGACAAAGGAAAATGTACACAAAGTACGATCGCCGCTTAGCAGAAGCTACGAGCGCTTCCTTGTGCCGTGAATTGCGCATAATTTTCGT